GGGACAAAACTTCCATTCCCTCTCCTAGTGCTTTGTCCCATGGGCACCTTCAATACATCCAGCAAACCAGAAACTCCTGAATCTCAAGTTCTGGGATTTCCTTACAGGCTTCCTCATGCAGGCATGATGGATTCTTAACTGTCAACCTCTTTCTTCTCCCTAAAGGAGGGCATGGTCTTTTTAGTGAGCAGTGACTGCCTTAAACCAATAGTCATTTCATTGTAATAATACAGATTCCAATCACCCCAAAATTTAAAAAATTCAGAGCTTTGTGTCAGATATTGAAAAGTCTGAAGACCTTTGTTTCAGGACCAAAATATTTATTTCTTATTATCTCACAGTACATTGCTTCATAATAAATGCTAAATTTTTATGGGGGGGCATAAATCTTCCTCCACAGGAAGTTTAAAACCAAATAAATAAGGAGATAATTATAGTCAGTGGAAAATACTGGATAGTATGATAGGCACATGACCCAGGTGTGGAAAATCAGAATAACCACTAAGAATAACATAATGCTGAATGAGTATGAGTATGAGTTAGCCATTTACAGGGAAGAACACAGGTGTTAGAATGCTTCTGATTGAGGAAACCTCTACAAAGAAAAATGAAGTGTGGATAATCAAAATGCAGACAGTTCACTGTGGCCAGAGATTACAGTGTGAGAACATTGGTTTTGAAAGTGAGGTGTAGGTGTATCCATTTTACCTTGATAATACTGAGGAGGGAATTGTTTAAATATAGAGTAGTTTTAATAGGGAAATGTGTGTGTATGTGTGTGTGTGTGTGTGTGTGTGTGTGTGTGTGTGTGTGTGTTCTAATTACCAAGGACTAATCAAGGCGGGAAACTGATAACCTGAATCCATCTAATCTCTTTAGTGAAAATCTGTACTCCATTTTCACCCCCAGTTATGAAAGAGATATATTATGAATATTCTGGTATAAAAGTATTTATTCCTCCTCTCATGTGCACTCACAGATTTAACTCTTAGTTGTTAGAAAAATTGTTGGCTTCTTAGCAGCTACGAGTCTAGGGAAGTAATTTAACCTCTTTATAATTTATTTGCTTTACAAAGTATTATTAATGCCTTACTTTCCTAATGTACATTATTACAGGACATAAAATTGTTTGGCTCTTTGGCCCCCATGGTATTATTATTGTGTTATACCACAAGAATTTTTGGGGTAAATCTGTACCATGGCATAAACTGTGACAAAGATAACTCATCTTCCATGGAATATGATTATATATTACATATATATTACTGAAGTTGAACAATATAAAAAGATTTTGCTCATTTTCCACTCCTTCGGTAGTAATAGCAAAAAAAAATAGAAGAATTTTATAAAACCCATATATGATTCTGCTGGGGGCACAGGAGTGACCGTTTGAAAGTTAAAGGTAGAGGAAGGACAAGGACAAAATTGAAATAAAAGTATTGCTTTCAATGCAGATACTCAAAAGTATCATGTAAGATGTATTACAATGGGAAATAATGCAGCTAGATAAATCTCAGTGTACTTCTCACAGAGTAGGAACAGTGGCTTCCAGTGGCATTCTTTAGGAGCATGAGATCTAAGGGTTGATCTGATTATTTCATGTTCGTAAATGCTCCTGGTTGAGCGATAATAAATAATAGAATTATCTTAACAAAAATCAAGAATATAACTTTAATTCTTTTTCCCCCATTAAGTTTATTGGTACATTTAAAACAAACAATACAATTACATTTATCATTGGGATCTTGTACCTTTACATGATATGCCTTGGTTCTTGTTTTTTCCCCATACCACTGCCCTGCTCTTTTGAATCTCAGTAACCTTTCCACCATTGATAGGAAAAGAGAATTTTATCTGTCATACTGATAAATTTTGAACTATAATGGGCAAGCCACTTAAAATTATAGTATCCCAGGTCACAACCACTTCTTGGGAGACAGCAGAAGTTCCCAGACATTATTTGGTGAGCTAGAGATGTCAGAGTGAAAGCTGGGAAGGGCAGGTATACAGCAGGTTTGCAAAGCATTTTAGGGCCTTCTCTGTACCACTTGGTAGCTCTAGCTAATAAACCTATGTATTTACATTCTCGAATATTATCAGGAAAACACGAACAAATTCACAAACCTTCTGTGTCTGGTAAAGTATATCTGATTTTCAGATATTTCCATGTTATGGCCTATCCATTAAATGTATTTTTTATTTAATGCTGCCTCAACTAACTCAACTTTCTCAGGCCATCAAACAGAAATGTAAAGCCCCATTTCTTTAAAGTGTTGGAAGAAAGCACCAGTTATCATGCAGAATAGCCTTTTAGCTAAAGTGGTACCTAAACCAGACTAATGAATTGAAACCTGTTTCATAGGAATTTTATTCTACGCCATTTATTTAATGCAGTATCCAAAACATTGTGCACTCTTTGACTGCCTGGTGAAAGAATAAGTTAGACATACATTTATTCACAGTGCCAAATCACTGTTCATTAATAGCCTCTCATTGTGAAATGCAAACATTTTGCATGGCTTATCAATCAACCAAACTACTTTTATGAAGTGTCCTTCATGTGTCCATCTCACTGTGCTACGCAGACTTATTACAAATGAAGACACGCTAAATATTTAAAAGATCAAATCAGACAAGTAAGTTTTTTAGTCAAACCTTCCAAATCAACAGTAAGTGTAATGTCCTCATGCATAAAAGAATAGAATCCCAAACTGAAGAGAAGGTTTGTGATCTATTAGAATCAGACTGAAAGGTGGCAGGTAGAGGTCACTGACTGCAAATTGGGGCAGAAACTTTTCTTGAAATTGGAAAATCATAATATGACAAGTCTGCACAGAGTGAGTACAGAAAGGAAATTGTATAATTAATAACACATATACACAGACTTTTCAGTAGTCCTAAGGTCAAAAATGTGATTTTAGAGCAAAGGAAATCATAAGGCTACCAGAATAGATTACATTTTAAACATTTATCCTGGAGAACCAATCAGTAGCAACCCAATTTTATCTGAACTAAATTCAAGGAAATTCGAAGACATCCATGTTTGAATATCACACAGACAATTATGCAAAGCATCAAGCCGCTTCATAGGTCTGCAGGGACTGAAAAGAGTATCTGAGTATCATCTGCATACATATGACACTGCAGGCCATAGTGTTGAATAATGTTATTCACTAAAAATATCTAAATATAAAGCTAAATAGGATTTCAAACAAGCCCCAGGGGAATCTGAAAGTAACTTGGCAAAGCACAAACCATTCCCCAAAGGAACAAATTGTAAGGAGAGTATAGGGATAAAGAAACTATCCATAGCAAACCATGTTAATTTTAACCAAAATTTCAAAAAAAAAAAAAGAGTCTTGTCAAAGAAAGACATGCCCAGCAATATTCAGAGTAGACAAATAGCCTTCGAGGAGTAGAAAAAGATACATATTGAACTAGTAAAATATTAATGGACATAATGTTCTAATCTACGACTCAGAGATGCAAGTATAATGTGAGATGCTAAAATTATTTCCCAGCAAAAATTCAGGATACCCCTTTCTCCAAAGATTTATAAGGTGTGGGTTTTTTTGGGTTTTTTTGTTTTGTTTTTTTGGTAATGAAGAACAAAAAAATGTTAAGAGTAATAACCAGTGTACTAGGCTCACTAAATTACTATTCCTTTATGATCTTGAGACTTTCATTTCTTGTTGCATGTAGGGGAAAAAATATATATATATATGTTGTAACCAGATTGAAGAAAAACAGGTCTAATTTAATAGGCAAGGAAGAATTTCTTGAAGACTATTACAACAGAGGAGAAATTGGACTTGAAACTTCAGTGAAACTAAGGGAAAGAAAAGGATTTTTAAATGCTAGGTGAGCTAATGGAAAAGCACTAGGGAAAGTCAGGAGTTAGCTTGGTCTAAGATTAAACCATTTGGCTTTGCTAATTGCTACTTGTCATTTAGCCCTTATAAAAGCTAGGCTTCTACCCTTCTAGGGAAACTGGATGATAGCTATCTCCCTTGATGTTTATGTTTCAAAGGGATGGCACCCAGGTCCCTGGGAAAGACATTCTTAGATTGTAAAACTGGCAATAATCTGGAAAAAGATTTCAATCTCAAAGGAACAGAGAAAATTGCATGTTTTCTAGAGTAAATGATCTAAAAAGAAGAGAGGTCAGGGATCTACAGTGAATAAGAAAGCTGACTAAAGACTAGTCAAGCTGTCTAGAGTAAAGGTCATCATGTTCAACCATCTGTATCTCTCAGATGTGGAATTTCTCCAAAACATGCTCTCCCATACTCAAGGTAACCGGAAATATCCCAAGTAGATCTTGATTAAAAGAATAAATTTATCAATTATCAAATTATCATATGAAATTAATAAAGCATATGTCATATTCTAGAACAATAGAAAAGTATGACTATACACATGAATATGCTCATTGTAAGAAAACAAATTCATATTTAACATCATGTCACATGATACTGATAAAAAATTGGTAAATCTCATGTTTCTTACATCATATGAAGCCATAAGATGCTAATAGACATACTTTCACAATTGTTTTACTAAGATAATAAATCTTCTCTAGTCAACAGCCATGGATAAAGAAATGTACAATTTTAGATCTTTATAATCTCACTGTTTAGAACGGTGAATATGGTCCTGTGTAGATATCCAGTACTGAAGAAGAGAAACTAATTCTTGACCACAATTAGTTTTAAACAAACACTGCCATACCCAGTGGGTGAAATAAAACCCACCAGATTGATTTTCTTTGCCCTAGATTATTTGTAATAAAATATTCATATCTATATGCTCTGAGGAGTTTGGCAGAACACACCTCAATTAACATACCTCAGTGCTTCTAGTTGATGACTAGCAGTTTAGAAATTTAAACAATGTAATGGAAAGAAGTCTTTCATGATAAACAAACTCTGTTGCTGTGGGCAAGCTCAGATACGTTTAAATTGTTTTCCTAGAAGCTGATGTTGCCTATAAGCACCCACCTGGCTGCTGAGGCTCTCTCTGACAGAAAAATCCATGCACCTTCCTGGAGAAGTTTTTAATAGCTTTGTATAATTTTCTCTTGAGACAACAACTAAATCTTGTTTTGAGCTCTTTTCTAAAGCCACTGCAGGTAGTTAACAGTTTGGTTAAAAATAATTAAGCCAATTTGTTAATGTGAAACTCAAACTCCCTCAGATAGAACACTATGTTCACAGGATAAAAGACTGCCTAAGTGGAAGGTTCTCAAGGGAGGATGGGAGCCAGACCCAGCATGAGGTGCTTTATTTTCTACTATAAATCTTCACACTTCTGCAAAATTGTTGGAAGCCAGTACTGCTGTGGGTAGTTTTGCTTCTTCTTTCTGCTGTCACTAGTCCCTACTGGAAATACCTCTAGTCGCTCCTAAGCAGATACCCTACAGCTAGCTCCAAGCATTAACAGAATGCAGAGTGAATTGAATACAGTATGACACATGACTCCAGAAGGAACAGCCAAGACAGAAAGGAAGCTAATAAAGATAAAACTGAAACGAATGCCCCCAAATGGAAAAATCCATGCTTTTACATCAGTCCTACTTAAACTTCAGGATCAAGTAAAATAAAATGTTTAGATTTCTTTAGTTTTAAGTGCAGGTCAGTAGATGGCATTATGTCTTCAAACAGTACCTTCACCAAAAATGACCCGGACGTTTCTTCTTGTTACAGCTAAAAGTCTAATTCAGCCTCTTGTATTGATAAATGTACATGCAAATATATTTATATGCACTGTCTTTATTGTTGATGTCTCCATTCAGTGCATATTTATTAACTATTTCTCCTTTAACAGGCACACTTCACTACAGATACTGAAGTAAGACAGAAGAAACCCAACTCCTCTTGTCCATGTAGCCACTGACTTTAAAAAGAGTAAACTAATTCTCTCAAAATGATTTCTAACATATTTTTATTAGTCCATCTTTACAGTGCATTACATTCTTTTTGTGGAGTTGGTAATACACATGACACATCTTTATTAGTTTTTTTCATCTCCTTTCCCTCCCTCTATTTCTCTTTTTCCCTCCATCTCTTGATCACCTTCCAATTTGGGAAAAATCTACCTCCTCCCTTCCAATTATCTATCTTGTATATATTTTGATCTTTATTTTTAATTTGTACATTTGATTTATTTTACTTAACATACTGTCTCAAGATACATCCATTTTCCTAAAAATGATTAGAGTATATCTTTACCCTCCATTATGTTTAAATACCACATTTTCTTTATCCATTCATCTGTTGTTGGACATAGAGCTCACTTTCAAATTTAGCTATTATGAATTATGCTGCATTAAATATGGGTATGCACATATCACTATTGATGCCTTTAACTTTGGAAAGATACCTAGAAGGAGGAGAGCTGGGTCAAATGAAATTCCTAAATTTAGCCTTTTGAGGACTCAAGGTTATTGTTTCAAAACTCATAAATTCTGACAAAATTATTCCATGCTAAGAAATTTGCTTTTTAGTTTCACATCTTCAACCAAGTTTTTCTTAATTCATAGGTAGATTTTCTTTGCCATTGGACATATCACAGGTCCATAAGTAGGCAAGAGGGATTCTCACATAAGCTTATCCAAGATTGAGATATCAGCATTTTTCTCAGCAGGACTGTGTTCCTCCACGTATATGTCTATCTACACTCATATACATATGGCAAACAGCCATCCAAGATATATCTATAAAATAAAATCAATAATTTTCACCTAAAATTATCATATTAAGCATAAACTATAGAAACACAGTCTATAAAGTATGTAATACTGATACGTAGATATTTTTTCCAATGGTTACAAAGTCATTAAATTACTACTGCCTATTTGAAATTATTTCTAATCTGGTACATTCATGGCCAAAACATCATTTTCCCCAGTTTTAGAAAAAAATAATACTGCACTATTACTAATTTATTAATTCAGAATGCATGACTTTATATTTATATAATTTGTTTTATATTTTATGATTTTTTTCTAAGACCCATAAACTGAGTATTTGTTCTCTTGATTTTGTCACTGTTGCAAGTTCAGATGATAAGTTGGTCAAGGGACACTTCTTTTTTTAATTAATAATTTATCTAAAATAGAGCAATGCAGGCTAGATCAGAAAAGCATCTACAATCTAGGTTTTAGTATTTCAGATTATATTATTTCTTCTTACCTCTCCCTAATTCTTCAAATTAATACTTATTTCTTTACCACTAATTATATGAACTCTAAAAAAAATAGGAAAACATTCACTGAACACATGCTAAGTGCAAACTACTCAAAAGGTTATAAAGAAGAAATAGCAAAAGTTCTAATTAAATACATTCTTTTTGGTGGTGCTAGCATCGAACCCATGGCCTTATGCCTGCTGAACAAGTGCTATATCTCCAGCTCTATTTTCTCCCCTCTTTATATTTCTGTGCATCACAGAATAACTTCATCAAATATATTTTTTATAGATGAGAAAATTTAAAAATGGAATATATAAAGTTAAGAAATTTAGTAACCTTGATAAACAAAATATATGTCAAGTGAAATGTAATGAAATATTCTGAAGGCAGTAGATGAATTAGAGCTGCGTATGAAATGCATCTCTGTGAAGATAAAATAGCCAAGGCAAGTTAAATTGTGGGTTATAGCAGCTAACCCGCAATGTGAGGTTACAATATGATGGGGTCCCTGGCTTCTGTGACTGTGCTTTATATTGATCTTAAAAAGGTCATTAAATGTATGTAGATCTATAATCTTACCCTCCACCAAAGAACAAGGGAAACTCTTGCCAGGAGAAATCCAAGATTAGGATGAAAGTCAAACCAGGGAGCCACTCGGAATTCAGGAGCCTACATGAGACAAGAATCTCAACAAAAGGAGCTCCAGGAAATCCTGAGCAATTCACTTTTGAATTCTCCCTACACGTCCAGAGTAGCTGTTTGTCATCTCTCTTTTCCTCCTCCTTCCCCTTCTTCAAATAAAGTGTATTCTTTTATTTAAAAAAAGAATTTAAAGTACAATCACATCACCCCAATGCCCTTTAAAACCTCAGGAAGGTTGGGCTATACTTATTTTTAAACGTGTGAGCTCATGACACATGATAACAGCTCATGTAGATTTTCTAAGGTTCGATGCTTGAAAAAATGGCATTGTGTGGACAATGGAGTATTCCCCATTTGTTATTCAGATTTTTCCACAATTTGAGCTCATATTCATAGAGGGCCTAAGGCTGTGGGATATGTATGAACAGTTTCATATCAGTTAGAAAGAAATATTACTTTACTACACTAGATATTTCCATGTTAACATTTTATATTGTAAAGTTAAAATTAGTTTGGCTGATGGCTAAATTGAAAACAAAGTTACCTGCAAATTTCACTTACAAAATTCATCTTTGTTTAAAAGCATTAAAGCATAATTTTAAAAATTTCTTATCCATTTAAATATTTTTTATCTGTGATAAACAAGGTAGCAATTGAACTTTTCATTCTCTGGATATAGTCAAAATATACATATGCATACATATACATACATCATCAGTGTCAACTGTATTAAAAATATCTGCCACATCTCTTAACATTTGGACACTGTTCATTGTCTTATAGATTTCTTTTTAACCCCTTCAAATTAAGTTAAAATTTGATAGTAATGTTGTCACCAAATGTCAGTTTTCTTCTAAACAACCTGACATCAGCTTCTCAATAATAAGAGCTTGCAAAATATTAAAAATCCAACCAGGAGATTGCTTAGAATCTGCTTTTACAATGTGTGCTTTCAAGTTTGCCTCCAAAATAAAGTTCCAAGAAGTTTAAAAATAATCAATGTATTCTTCCATTTTGTTTTCTGAAAAATAATATGAGAAATAATTGTTTAAATATTTGGATGTAAATTAGCTAAGTCCTTACCTTGTAACCATTTTTAAAAGTAGCTAAGTCAGGGCTGGAGATTTAGCTCAGCGGTTCGGTGGCCTGCCTTGCAAGAACAAGGACCCGAGTTTAATCCCCACTACCAAAAAAAAAAAAAAGTAGCTAAGTCACCATAAACTTCCCTCATAAATCCAAAAAACATAACTAATATGCATTTATTGTTACTCTATTTGCATTAGTTGACGCCATCAATTTCTTCAGCACTATGTTGTAACTCCCTTACCAATTTCTCTTATTCTCAAAAGAAAATAAACAGTAAATATTGCTTAAAGCATATTTTCTTTACAGTTATCTCATTATTGATTCTTTCTTTATTGAACCAGAAATTATTCTGTAAGTAATTCAATCCTGCAAGGTAGACATGAAGGGGAGGGAAAAAATACAAAATGAATGAGGAAAGGCCCTTTCATTGACAAACATAATGGGAGAGGGGCAGATTACAGGGTAATAATAAGCAACAAATGCCATAAAGGGGTTGCTCACGGAGCACTCTGGGAGCTCACAGCCAAGGATGTCAAGAGCATTTCTTTGGGAAAGGAGCACATTAGCTTGTTTCTGGAAGATAAATAGAGCTTTTCTACAGAGAGAAAATGTGTGTGGGGAGAGGAGCGCATGTAGATGGGAAGCAAAAGAAAAACCTTGAAGAATATGCTGTATTAGGTAAAACTTAAAATTCGAGTATTCTGGAAACATACACAATTTGAATGGCATTAGGTGATGCGACTGCTCTGTAGAAGAATATTTCATATTGGAGTTATAATTGCTTTTATTTTCTGAAAACGGGGCTGTCTGGTCCTATTAAAGGATCACTGAACTGCTTCAAGAGAAATTCTTCCCTCATCAAATGTGTTGTAGTCACACATTTCTTGCAACTCTATATCAAGTTCACCAAGCTTCTTCCCACCTTTGGAAGTCTGAACCGGCCTTTGCTTTTTCTTGGAGTTTTGTTGCCCAGGCTTTTCAGGTATTTGGCTACTTCTCATAGCTGAGTACCAACTTTCTTGCCACTTCAGTGACTCTTTCTCATGTAATCATATTTTCTTTTCTTTATAACAATCATCATTTTGAAGTTATTTGTATGTTTGTCTGTTTATTAGTTGATTTAGTTATCTCTTTAAATATATAAAAATAAAAAGTGCCTAAAGTCAATAAATGA